GGCCTCGGGACCTGGGGCAGGAGGTCCAGTGTAGCCCAGTGGGTTTCTGGGAAATGACAGGCATGTGGGGACTTGAAGGTCTATAGCAGCGCGAGTAACTCTTACGCAAAGGCTCAGCAGCGTCAGAGAGGCCGGCGCAACAGAGGAGCTGAAAGCAGCTCGATAGTGTCGGGACAGGAATAGATTCAGCGCGTCGCCACGTCACGATACCGGCCTCGCTTTGAGGGCTGATACAGCTGTCCAGTCACAGAGCGCTCGGAATAGGCAGTGTGTTCTGGCTTTAGCATCGTGGCAACAACTCCAAACATCTTTCTTCTCAATTTTTTAACGTGAATTGAAATACCCTCTCTTGTGTTTCGTACAACCGAAGAACGGTGTAGGTAAAAATTGGCATTCTGATCCCTAATTTTCTGAATATACAGTGGGGGAAAATAGGTTGACAGCTGTCTGTATGAAAAAATAACACAATAATTACTGGTGAATAATACAAGAATTATCTGTTTTGCATACTCACAACAGTAAACCTACTTTTGCGCCCCCCCCCCCTTATTTTAAACATGAGCTACCTTATCTCACGAAATGTTTTAAGGGGCAATACGAAAATTCATCAAGGTCAAGTTCTGTCGGGAAGTTCGTGGGGTCGGAGGTGGAGAAGCACAGGCCGAGGGGCGTCCGGCTGCAGGAGTCAGATCAGCGACAGGCTCCGGCCCTGGGCCCAGAGATCAGGGTAACGGCCAGGAAGAACAGGCCGACTAGTTCAGCACATGCATTTCACTGATGCGCTCACTGCCTGCTCCCCGAACGAGCAAATCAGCAAAAATCCTGTGGGTCTATTGCTGCCTTTGCAGATACTGTAACGCCTGAGGAGCAATTCCGGACAATCCGTCGTACGCCACTGGGGCCAAGTTTCTGTTCCAGGTAAGTGGCCGACTCCCGCCCTCAGCCACGGCCTCACGGGACTGCATTCTGAACAGGAGCTCTTGCCTGCTCAGAAAGTCACGAAAGAAGCCCCTTCCTTCTGGGCTAACTGAAATGTTTCTAGGAAGGAGAGACCTGGAACCTAATTAGGGGCCGTTCTATATTTACATCCCTAATAACCAGAGAAAGCACTCTCATTCGAGTTACACTTAATGTAAGGCACGACATCATCTAATTTCACCGTGGACCTGAAAGTCACGAAAGTTATGGACTCGCACGCAAGAAGGAGGCCTTCTTGCCTCCTTCACACTTGGATGGCCTTGAGGGCCCGCTCTTTCACAGCGAGAGGTCGGAGGTCAGAGGTCTGAGTGGAGCACTGGAGTGGCCCTTGATGAGTGTGCGACTTCGGATAAATTAATTTAACCGCTTTGGTTTATCTCAAAAATATGGATAATAGTTCCCAAATTTCCCCTTTTTCTATGATAGAAATGAAATCATACATGCAAAATTCTCAGCACAGGGCCTCACACGTAATACACTGTCCATAAATATGTGCCTTTTATCGTTGTATTACTTCTTTGGTTGTGTGTTTGACCTTTGACATGACCAGTGCATGGGCTGGGGACAAAATTGGAGGAAAAGGGGTATTTCTTTCCCCTGCTCCCTTCCTGCTGGGCTTCAGTTTGGGCTCTGGCTGCTTTCCTAGTGGTAAGACCACAGCTCCTGCCCCAAGGACCCGCTCCGGAGGCCGGCCGGAGTTCTTGGTCAGACAGGCAGAGCGCCCTCCTCCGGCCAGGGTCGGTAATGGCTTTTCTTCCTCTTGTTTGGCCTTGGGGGCCCCTCCCTGACCTTGCCAGGCCTCTAAAATGGTCCATTCACTCAGCTCTATTCAGGTAAATCCTTTGTGCCACTAGTTTTTTGCTCCGACTTTGACAGGCACAAAATAAAAACGAAGACTTTATTTGGACATAAGGGAGGGTATCTTTTCCTAAAGAATCATTTTTAAATACTGGAAAATGCTAATACCAGACAGCTCCAAACCTAATGCAAAATTTTTTGGATGGCGGTGGTTTCTTGTGATGTAGACCCGGTTTGCAAGGCTGGAGAGAATTTGTTAAGACGGCAGTGGGTGGTGGAAAGGAAGGGTGGAGTCTTTTCTAGACACATAGAACAACGAGCTTCTTGGTTAGAGCACTGTTCAGATACGCCAAGGTTGGGGGTTCGATCCCTCGTCAGGGCACACACAAGAATCAACCAATGAATGCATCAATATGCAGAACAACAAATCGATGTTTCTCTTTCTCTCTCCCTCCCTCCCTTCTTCTCTGTCTTTAAAATCAATGAAAAAAGTATTTTAAACAATGAGACCAAATCCACAGTAGCAAAAGGAGCAAGAGCATCATGGGCACGGTAAGGAACTGAGGCTGCTCTCATGGGAAGTTTATGTTCAAGGGTTTAAGGTGCAGAATCAGTCTCCCAGAGGTGCCGTGCCCCCGTCCCGGGAACCTGTAACATGTTACCTTGTCCAGGAAAAGGGACCTGTCCTGTGTGATTAAATCAAGGGTCCGGAGGTGGGGAGATAATCCTGGATTATTCAGGAGGGCCCACGGTAGTGAGGAGGGCTCTTATCAGCAGTAGGTAGCAGTCAGAACCAGAGAAGGAAATGTGGTGAAGAAGAGGGGTTAGAGGGAAGGAGCTGAAGGCACCCCCTGCGGGGTGTGAGGAGGCCGGTGTGAGGAGGCGGGCAGAGGGAGCCACAGGGAAGGCAGGTGGTCCCCAGAAGCAGGAAACGGACTCTCCCTGGAGGTTTCTGAAGAAACACAAGTGAGACCTCTGACCTGAAGAGCCGTACAGTAGCGTGTCTTGTGTTAAACCAATAAATCTGTGGCGATTTGTGACAACAGCAACAGGAAACTGATAGAAGGGCCATAGGAGACAGACGGTACTAGACTAGGGCAAACCCCGAAAGGTCAGTTGAGAATTTTGGATTTTATCTGAGGACAACACAGTACCACCAAAGTCTTTTGACCGAAGGCTAAGATAGAATGAAAATTACTTGTTAGGAAGATGGATTTAGGGTTGGGTTCAGGTTGGAGACAACAAGAGCTCTCAGCAGTCCTGTGTGTGGGTGTGGGTGCGGTTGCTGCTGCGGCCCCAGGTTATGTGTGGACCCCACTTACTGACGCGAAGTTTCCAAGGAAGCTGACAGGACAACGACTGGCTGGGAAACCAGCAAAGTAAAAGAAGGCAGATTTCAGATCCTTTGCATCGTGAAATGGGTACAAATGTAGCACTTAGGAGGAATCTAGTGCTTCTGACACAGTAACTTCTTTTAAAAGTCTAAATTTCAATACAATTAACATATATACACATACACACTCACAAAAGGGAATTAGATATTATAATTTTGAAATATCTATGCTTTATTTTCCTTTAAATCCCTTCCTGGACTCAGCAAGGCATATTATCCCAACAATTGCAGAAAACTCACAGTGCACAACATATTTTAGGCATTGGGAAATAAAGTGGTTGAACCTAAGAAAAGGACCTCAGTATAAATATGTAGACATTAAATAATTATGTGTGTCAATAAGATGATATATAATATATATGAAACTGCAACTTCTTAACCTCTATTTTTTCTCATTCTTGTAGTTTAGAGGATATGCAAGTATCATTTGATCATTTCTTCATTAGTGACTACTTATTTGGTAAAATGGAAAAGGTATTATCTGAGTAGTTAGTAAGCCATCCAGATTCTGCACAACAATGACACCAGGCAAGTGACCTCCCAAAAAATGCGAGCGGGAAAACCATCACAGGTCAGATGGGCAAAGGGCAGTGACAGCAGCTGACTCTGCCCTTGAGGCATTCGCTGGCTCTGACGCGGGTCAGGAGTGACCGCTGCTTGGGTTCCTGGACACATCCTGAGCAGCGGAGGACGTCTGGGCCAGAAGTCAGCCGCTCACCACGCGCTGTCTCCGCACCCCATCCCGCTATGGGGGGAAAGCTTTGCTCGTTAATAACCCATTTCTAAGTGATCTTCATAAAAGTTAGCAACGCTGGGTCATCTAAGCCAGACTCAGGCTGGATCGCCCCTGTTTTTAGTGGTGAAATGCGAAGGTAACTAGTGCTAAGAAGCATGTCAGCAGTTAAGACTCCGAAGAATCAAATACTGAGGACAGATGCTGAAACCAGCCACTAACTAAGCCATTAACCAGGTCACCTTGCTAAAGCCACACCTGCGTCCATCGGCCTCCCCTCTTCCACTGTCACCACCGCGTGCCTCAGGCAGCGACCGTGACCGGTCGGAAAAGATCTGGCCGCGGCTTCATCCTTGGGAAAATCTTATAAAATACTAGAGTTCACCCTTGTTCTAAGTTGGATACATCCACGGTGTTTTTTTTTAAGTCCCTCCTCCTCAAAAATACCTATTTACACAAATAACAATATTTTGCATTCTCTACAAGTCAGCTCTGTAATATTTACAAAGCGGCTGTTCACTATTCCTGTCTCCACTCCCCAAGGCTCCTCCTCCTGGGAGCTCGTGGGGAAACACAGTTCAGGACGTGGAGCGGTGCTGCCCGGCCTCCTGGCCCTCCCAGCGGGGCAGCCGAGCGGGTCTGAGTACCGACGGCGAGAAAAGGCAGCACTTCCCGCCCGCGGGCAACCTGAGGGGACAACTTCGTCTATCAACCAGTCAGGCGCCCTCGCGTCTCCTCCCTGCAAAAGAAAGGAGCCGGGGACGCCCTGCAGCAAAGTCCTAAAATACAGTGCAAACTGTCAAAACAACTTTAATTCGAAAAGTCAGCTCTGCCTTGTAAAGTTTTCACCCCTTCCTCCCTCCTGCCCCTGGTGGGTGGAGGGTTGTGAAACGACCACAGAACTAACTCCGATCCAAAAGCAAGACGCCAACACTCCTTCCGTCTTCCAACCTGCCCAGAAGACACGACCCGTCTGGAAGCGCCCGACAGCGGCTCCGCGTTGCCCCCCGCTCCCGGGGCCACAGCTCAGCGCGCGCCTCCCTCCCAACGCCCGAGCCGCGCGCGCAGGAGGGGGTCAAGTAAAGCGGGGTTGCTCACCGGTGAGGAGCCAGCCGCAGGCGACAGCGACCCCTGGGCGGGCAGGGCTCCGGGGGGCCATGGCCGGAGCGGCCGCGGCGTGGCGAACGCGCTGGATCGCAGAACGGGTCCCGGCAGGACCCGGCACGGGAGGCGCTCGCGCTGGGCCACTCGGCCCGCCTGCCGCTGCGGGTCTCGGTCGCTGCCCCGCCGGTCGGGGCGCCCAGGAGCCGCGCAGAGTGATCTCCGGTGCTTCTAAGTCCGCTCCACGCTTGTCACATCCCAGACGCAGTGCCACACCGCCCGCCCCTTCGAGCTTCTGCTCTCTGAAGTGCGCCTGGCAGCCTCCCAGGCTCTGTCCGAGACATGGACAAATAAAGCCAGCTTCGCGGGCCCGTGTTTAGGCTAAAGTCCACGAGCTGCGAAGCAAACCTTAAAGGGACATCTGCCTTTCACGGAGAGGGTGATCCCGCAGTCCTTGCCAACTCTCTAAGGTGGTAGGAAGATGGGCGAGGGCAGGCCCTTCGAGAGGATGTTGCTAGCCCCTGGCTCCTCCTTCACACCCCTCGCCGCTCTCTGGCTCAGGCAGGGAGGGCACTTTTCAAGCGCCGGGGCTCCTGAGCCCTAGGGGAAGGCTGCTGTCCTGGGTGCGGTGGCGCAGAAGGCGGCAGGCGGTCTGCGAGAGTGAGCGGGTTTGGGACCTCGGTCGCGGTCCTGCGCACACACCAGAACTTGGGCGCAGTCCCCGCTCCCTGGGAGGGGCGGGCCTGGCGCGCCAGGGCGCGCCCACTCGACACGCCCACCGAGGGCTCTGCCGCCTCTGCTGCAGGGCTTGCTTCTTTTTTGGCGACCCTGAGTAAAGAGGGTTTTTGTTTCTTTTCTTTTTTTTTTTCTCTTTCAGAAGGGCTTTCTTTTGGGAAGACTGATAAGCGGGAGGAAAGGAGAAACATGACTGGGAGAAAAAGGAAACGGAGACGGAGCGCAGGAGGGACGCAGGAGCGAAACGTTCCCGCAGAGATGGAATGTGTGTGGGCTATTTGGTGTAAGCTGAACTAGGATGTTCGTACACTGGGAACTGAAGCTAATAGAGAACCCGGGGCGCCTCCCCGCCCCCTCTTGCTGCAGTGCGTTGTGAGGAACGGTGCCTGGTGAAGTGGACTGGGCAGAACGCTGGGTCTCGGCGCCCATCCCCGGGAGGCGTCCCTCCTCTGATGGGCTGCACACGCTCCCCGAGGGAAGAGCCACGTTCACTGGTTAGCATCACCTAGTACTTGCTGCTTTTAAAGCCATTGTGTTTTCGTTTTCGAGAATTGCCAAGAAAGGGCAGGAGTGCGTGAGTGGGTTTGTGCTGACAGGTGGTGGAGATAAACAACTGTGTTCAACGCCGTCCAATTCAATCCAGCAACTAACTGAGTCGGTCTCGCAGGCCAGGGGTGAGGCAGGCCGAGAGTGCCCCCCGAAGGAGGACTCATTGCCGGATGCAAAACACAGGCAACGAGGTCCAGGTAACCCAAGGGAAGGGAGGGGAGGAGCCCGCAAGAATGGCTGAAGCAGTTATCAAGTAGAAGACTGCGGGGCCACACGTTACAGAAGACAAAAAAGTTGGAAAAGTTGAATGAGGGTCAGAAGTGGGGTGGGCTGAGTGAAGAGGTTGGAGGCCATCTGATCGGTCACATGACCTTTCAGCCAAGGAATTCCTCTTCTGACTGAGGTCTTTGAAGTGATCCACTACCTAGTAAATATACTGAACATCTGCTTTTCCTTGTTTCCAGCTTTCTTTCCCTGCCCCCACTGCTTAGCGCTGTCTTCGAAATTGTACCAATAGACCTCTAGGAAAACTGCATTGTGTTGGATTCTCAAGGTTCAGCCTCATTCTTCAGGCCTCTTTGCAAGCACCCGATGCTCTCCTATCCCAGTTTGGTTTCCCCACCTGTTCCCACCTTCTTTCATTAACTGGTGCCATCGGCCTGCTGTTCCCTCCAGGGAAAGCTTGGGGGTGAAGGCCTTTCTGGGGACATCTCATCTCCGTGTATAGTTTCACATCTTATGCCTCTCAGTGTGACCCTCAGGGCTTTGTGCGATAATGAATAACTACTGATTAATTGATTCATGCTTAGACATCTAAAGTTATAATAAATATAGCCCTGGCTGGTGTGGCTCAGTGCATTGAGCACCAGCTTGCGAACTGAAAGGTCGCCAGTTTGATTCCTCGACAGGGCATGTGCCTGGGTTGTGGGCCAGGTCCCCGGTGGGGGGCCTGCGAGAGGCAACCACACATGGATGTTTCTCTTGCACGTGGATGTCTTCTCTCCCTCTCTTCCCCTCTTTCTGAAAATAAATAAAATCTTAAAAAATAAAATAAAATTATAATGAATGCTTTATTCAAAGATATTGTCTTAATTGCAGAACAAATGTTCTCTAAATTGCTCAGTTTTCAAGAGCAGAAAATAGTGTGTATATACCTGTGTGTATGTGTGTGTGTATATGTATATATATATTTACACATACCTATGGATATACATATGTGGACTTCTAGAAAAATTGCAATGTATTGAAAGAAAAGAATAAAAGAGGAATTGTAAAGTTAAATCTTATTGAAATAAAGGAGGCTTAAAACATACTTACAATCAAGGCTTTAATTACTGGAAACTTTCTTTGGGGGACTTAACAAAGACTTTGACTTTAAACGTTATATCCCCTCTAGGACCTGCAAGCTGGTGGGGACCACCACCGCTGCCAAAGTGGAAGTTCGTTTCCCTGTGTGTTATGAATTTCAGGGCAATATTTATTGATCTTCATGTCAAATCAAGGCAAATGTAGACATGGAGAAAAAGGCATTGGCTGAAGAATTACATTTGAAAATAAGTGCTCATTTTCTGAACGTCAATAAATCTAAACACAAAGCAATGTCAGACAAGCAATTTCTTTAACCAGTTCTACCCTGATGGATAGGAAGACATGCCACTGAATAAACTAAAACTTTGAGAAGATTAAAAACTAGGGTCACAAACTGGTGACTACATGAGGTCCCTTTATGGCAAATGTTAAGCTCTAGAATTTATAGGATAAATTTTAAATGACAACTAATTTGATCAGATCTCTTTTTTTAGGATTTTGAGAAATATGGATGAAATTGCCCCGGCTGGTGTGGCTCAGTGGGTTGAGCGCTGGCCTGCCAACCAAAGGTCGCCAGTTTGATTCCCCATCAAGGCACATGCCTGGGTTGCAGGCCTGGCCCCTGGTTGGGGGTGTGCAAGAAGCAATTGATGGATATGTCTCTCGCACACTGATGTTTCTCTCCCGCTCTTTCTCCCTCCCTTCCCCTCTCTAAAGAAAAATAAATAAAATCTTTAAAAAAGAGAGAAATATGGGTGAAAATTAAAGGGTCATGAAGAGGTTAAAGGCTGAACTTAAAATTTATGAAATGAGGCAAAAATAATTGGGGTTACTGACCAATTATCCCCAAAATAAAAACATTTATTTCATACCAAGATATTCCCTGTAGAGGTAACTTAATAATATACTGTATGAAATTACTGCAATAAGTATGATTTGGGAGCGAGATTGCTTCAAGCCCCAGAACCACCTTATGGTCGCTGCATGATTCAGGAAAAGCATCTAGCTTCTCTAAGCCTCAATTGCCTCAGGTGTAAAATGGGAATGAAAACACTGCCTTTCTCTGAAGATTGTTGTAAAGATTAAATGAAGTAAGACTACAAAGCATTTACCAAAATGTCTGGGTTAAAATAAGCACTTAATAGAAATGAATCATTCTTCTGGGTAGCAGAAGAGCTAGTATCAGCTGGACAGTGGAAGCACAGGGCGGGGCGCGTGTGCGGTGGGCCCTCTGGGAGTCGCTGTGAGTTGATGGGCCTCAGAAGGCAACTTTCGTGTCTGATCAAAAACATCTCCATCAACTCCCATGATTGCTTCTGGACTCCTCACCTTTAGAACATTTATTTTGGATGAGGGTATTATCCTGAAGAGATCACTATAGAATAGGTAGACTCCTGAAATTAACAAGGATTTGGGTTTCAACTTCGCTAGCTGTCAAAGGGATTTTTTTTTTTTCTTTCTTTTAAACAGGAGAAGAAAACCCCACGGAGGGGTCTGGCGCAGAAGGCGGCTCCTGTCCGACGGCAGCGAGACGTGGGTTCTCAAAGCCGCGGCCTCAGGATGGTCCTCCTGCCTGGGCAGGGGGAGTGCCCGTTTTACTGTATAGTAAATAATTTTAAAATTGTAGGTTAAAGTAGTACATTTATTTAATTAAAAAAGGTGCAAAATAATACTTTTTTAAAGATCACATAGGAGGTTTCACATACATTTTAAGGGAGCATCCAAGCATGTCTCCTCCCCACTTCTCGACCCGGTGAGAGTAGGTGTAGGTGGCACTGGTTGCCTACAGCTGCCTCTGTTTTTACAAAGGCCACATGAAGGTCCAGGCGCCTCAGTGACCCTGTGCACGTCTTCAGGGGAGGCACTCCCGAGGCCACCATGGGAACTTCCGGGCCCGCCACATGAGGAGCTGCGTGTGGCTCAGCGATTTTCACATCCCTGCCGTGCGTGGGACACCAGGGCAAACATGAGTGGACTTCCTACTAAAGATCTGCTGCCCCTTAATTTCTTTCCCTCCCTCGGTAATTAGGAACAGAAACAAGCCGTTTTGCCCTCACTTCTGACATTGATATGCCTCACTTTAAGCCTGTTCTGTTAAGCAGTCCCATGAAGAAACTCCCATGTTGAACGGCTAGAATTTGAGATTCTTCTTATATAACCAAAATAAAGTCACAGTGATGTGGAGCTTGAACTTCACCACCCACCAACCGCTTCTTTTCTTTTCTTTTTTTTTTTTTTGTTCTTATGTAATGTTCTTGTGAGTGTTTTTTCACTTAAAAAGTAAAATAGGTGTTCCTCCCACCCTGGTTTCCTGAAAGTCTATGCCAGAATCCTGGTCCAAAGACGTTCGGGCGACTGGCACTGCTGAAAGAGATTTAACTCTAGAATCCCGGTGGGGCGTGGCTCTGAGCGCTGTAGGAACCCTCCCTAAGCCGCAGTGGCAGACTTCACCGTGGGTGACACACCAGGGCCGCGGCGGGGGAGGGAGGCCGGGTGGGGCT